TAACCGTATGTTTAACAACAGCAACACTGATTCTTGGTCACAAGGTAAGTCTGTAGCGAACAAGTATTCTCAGTGTGCCATGTTTTAGACGGACATTCACACCAAGCAAAATGTCAACTTATCTCAAATGTTGTAACAATATGTAAACTAACTCATGATATTGTGATGGTACTTTGCCAAGTTGGAATTACATAGACCATGTTCTCACTTAAATGTAACGTAATTAATCCTGGATACTGGCCGTGAGTTTAACCAACAGCCGGCCTGTAATGTTCGTGAGAATGTTGGTTGAAAAGTGCAGTTTATCTTCGCAGGCAAAGAGACAACAAAGGGTTGAAGGTGTTTCAACAGTTTTACTGCACGTAAAGACGTTGTATTGCCTGTTAAATAATTTGAAAGATATTTAACCCACTTTAAACATATTTATGGTTGATATCTTGCAAAAAACAGAACAAGGTTTGAAATAAGGCGATAGGTTTATAATCAAAAAAGAAATAACTCTTCTATCAGTCCGGATTGTATATTGCAATTGTTGTGTTTACATTAAAGACCTTGAATGCTTAAAGCCAAAGCGTCAGGAAACGCTCGCGCTTGCCACGTTGCGTCCTCAGCTGGGTCACATTGTTTTCTCCGAAACAATAAAATGTGGAATTCAAGGGGGCAGATCTGCTTCTAGGTTTAAAGTGGAGAGACGTAAGAAAACAAGGGGTGAGTGCATGTGCAACAAAGTTCTACGAGTGCGGGTATGTTGACGCCTAGACTGGTTAACGGCCAAGGGTGCGTGCCTTCCCCCACACGTAGCACCTCCCTCTCGGACTTCCTACATGCAATATTTTCCCTTCCTGCAGCAAAGGTTTCTGTATCAGTCCGTTTCAGGGTGCGACGCTGTTTTTGAGTAACGTTGGAGGAACGGAAGGGGGGGGATTTTCTAAATCACACAAGGCAATGCGAAAATATTCCGACAAGTGGTTATCGCATGCGCAGCGAAGGTCTCGGAGTGCGGGTGAACTGAGTTGTCGCCCTGACTTGCGTATGATTTAAGGGTGCATGCCTATTCCCGTGCACGTGGCACCTCCCGCCTGGACGCCTTACATGCAATATTTTCCCTTCTCGTAGCGAAATTATCTGTGTCACAGTAAACCTGAAACATTAGCGTCGGCTTTCTGAATCGGTCTCAGTCGTGACTTCCGCCATCTACGAATGATTTGAGGTAGACGGCTGAGGGGAACCGCTTGCGCGATAATTATTCTTCTGTGATAGTTGCATTCTGCTTATTTTCCAAACTTGTAGTGACTAGCTCCACAAGAAGTGCACGTGTGAACGCCTTTTGTGACTAGCTCAAATGGAGGTGCACATTGGGGAATGCTTGTTGTTTCCAGACTCTATAACAGCCAATATAATGCCGACTCATACAGGACCCCATGTGACGACTGCTGAAATTACCTCACTTCAGACACCGTCCGCTGGCTTGGGCTTGTGCGGTAGTCCGCTATTTGATTTTTTCTGCCTATTCATTCTTTAGAGAATATACTCTTCCTAACAACCTGGCTTTCACAAGACTTATCTGTTCTCCAAAGTAATCGAGCGTGGGAAATTCTAGCCATTAGCATTAACCTTCTTAGCCTTAGCACTATGCAACAAACTCACTCCTGGGTGAGCTGTTTTGCAAAACTGACACTGATCGATGGCAAAAGTGCCGGGAGAATTTAGATAACAAAGCCCAAATACACGTAGCATTAACGTCTTTGTATAGCGGTCATTTACTAGGCCTTTGCCGAGTGCATTGGTGGCTCGGAAAGCATCCACGAAGGATACATTAAAAGGAAAAAGTGGACTCGTATGGCCAGTCTTTGGGCCCAGTAAACGCGTCGATTCGCAGGGGCCTAAAACAAACATAGGACACATTCGTGTCGTTTCTGGCAGACATATATCCCAAGCAGTAGATTCCTAGTCAGGGAAACGTCAGCACAACTGTGCAGCAGACCGTAATATGAAACTGCAGTTTTTTTCTAAAAATGTATGTATGATGACCGAAACAATAATTTTATTCAAATGATGTAAAGAAAGTGTTAGCCAAATTTGGCCAAGTCCT